CATGAAGTAACCGTAAGTTTGGCTTTCCGGTACCGTATTAATTTATAATGAATATACGTGGCGAATTGAAATTTTATATTTAATAGGAACAAAATCGTAATTTGGAGTGTTTCGTCTCGAGCAATATGAAGAAAAAGGGATTCATTTCTGGTCTCAGTGCTTCTTATATAACTCGACTGTTTTTTTTCTTCTTTTCAACATTAAGTTTGGTAATAAAATTTAGTAGCATAATAAAATATGTCACAATGGTAATTCGTTTTAGTCTAGCAGGTTCATTTACAAATTATTCTCTGGTAAATTCTTCAAACAAAACGAATTAAAACCTACTGTTAAATAAATATCAACTAAGAACAATGAAACTATTGCATGTATGACAAGGTTTTTATCCGAAGTCATAGGGCGTCCATAAATTATACTCAAAAAAATCTTAAACATCCCAAACGCAAATCATGCAGGGGGAGGGGAATCAATGAATAAATAAAAGTCAAAATCTGTGTCGTCATCAGAAAGAAAAATAAAATATGGCGTAAATTTAAGTGAAGAATTCGTTACAAGCAGCCATTTTTATAAATTTGTTAATGTGAAAGAAACTATTCCTATATATATATATATGTTTCATTAAATAATATAGACATGTGTTGTCTATTTATTTTATGTAAATTCTTTTCATAACGTCTGATAAGCTTAATAACATTATCATTAAACGAAGAAAGAAAATTACAATATTGATCCATATTTTTTAATCCAATCTAAACTTTCGGCTTACATAAGCCATTATCAAAGATGTCAATTACTGTACAATATATTAAGCAATATATGGACAAGACAGTGATGATACTCTGTTATTGTTTACATGGATGATTTCCAAGCAACGATAAACACGTGCATATAAGACGCTAGAAGCGAAAATCGCAGCGCAGATCATGACCACGCGAGAGTGAATTCGAGAAGTATTAAGTATGGGAAGCCGTTGGTATGAACCAATGGCTTCTCTTACCAATTATAGAGATTTAAGGATATTTGTAGAGATTCCATAGTTGATTTTGTTTAAGTTAGGTTTTAACTGTTTGATTTATATAGCTTCAAGAATTTTTAGTGTTTGTTTATTGTTTTTATGTTTAAGTATAATTCTGTTTTCAACAAGGGTTTTACGGAATTGTGTGTGCGGCCAGGCATGTTGTTTTAAATGCCTAAAAATGCGAATACACCAGTATCGGAAAAAAAAAACATACAGAACTAGTTGAAAAAAAAAATTCCTTTTTGTACAATAGAATAATAGCAATATGGAATGAAATAATAATAAAAAAGGAAAATGACCCCGAATTGAAGAGATTTCCCTCTTGTACAATAAACTGAGGACAATGTAAAAAGCCAAAACAAGACATGAAAGGCATAAAAAAATGATATTTTCCGGGTTAACGTATTTTTTTCGAAATAACGAAACAGTTTTAACTCACCGAATCGCGTCAGTATCGCCTACAATCAACGGCGCAAGTCAAGTGATGGTGTTTAACTCTTCGTATAGCGTTAGTTTCAAAAAGTTATGCGTGTTTTCGCATTATTGAAAAATCAATACATAACAAATTTAAAAACCTCAGACCGCCACAATTTTAAGAAATGGACGGAAATGAAAATTATTTTTGAAATTTAACATAAACTTTTTTCTTTCTTTCTTTTTTTTTTTTTTTTTTATATCTATTGCATTGGTAATTGAATTTGTTTAATAATTCTTTTCTCGTGAAAAAAATAATCTTACTATTTTGTCTGTAATATAATCAATTCTCCTATGGCATGAGATTGATAGTAAGTTTCAGATGTTTTTGAAAAAAGAATGGCGTAGATAAAAGAAATGATTTATTTTGAAAACATACACACTCGGTCAAAAAAAAAAAAAATTTAAAGAGCTTTTTAAGCGTAGCTTAGATGCAGCAGAAAGCGAGAAGCACCCAGTGAGGATCGAGCTTGCTTACTCTCTCACACACTCAGTTATGTGCCATGCGTGATATACGCTTAGGTGAGCATATATCTTTCGATACATTGACGAGGCGAATTTTTTCCCGCAGTATGTTGCCATTTCTTTTTGCGGAAGACCATTGCCATTCAATAATATTAGAATAATAGTTGTTGGTTATTGGAATTTATTCCGTATACACCAATCCTATACTTGGATATATATATATATATATTTGGTTGGATATATATATATATATATATATATATATATATATATATATATATAAAGGAAAGGCGGAAAAACTATTCATAGCGACACGTTTCTTCCATTGACTTTTTATTCATTGTGTTCCTTTACAGATACACTCTATATAAAAATAATAGTGAAGAGCAGTTCAGGTTTTAGACCGAAACAGTCAGACAATCAGCACATATGATTTGATTATAGAAGTGAAAGCCTGTGTAGAACAACCCATACATTTTGGAATAACTGAATACAGAGATCTGGAAGACATGGAAAACCACGAGGTTTCAAAATGGCTTTCCTCAGGTTTTGAATTGAGAGTTGTCCCTCCAACCAAGGCCATGGGTCCAAGTCTATATATAATATTTACCAACAACTGTAGAGAGAAGAGATGGATGTATACCTTTCCCAAAGTTATTTGCGGTTATGTGACTATAACGAATCGATTTCTTCCCGGGTTATATAAACGAGTGATTGCAGCCCAAATACGCAATTATTAAATTACATGACCAGGCCGCCATGAAGGAAAGTAATCGAAGTACCTTTTCAGTCATTTTTAATGAAACTTGTGTAAAAGTGTGATTGCTGCCCAAATACACAATTATTAAATTGAATGACCAGGCAGCCATCAAGTAAAGTCATCGCAGTACCTCGTCAGTCATTTTTAATGAAACTTGTATAAAAGAGGGATTGCTATCGAAATACACAATTATTAAATTACCTGAACGATAATGCGTTTTTTTTTATTAACTAACCCTTTACATCAATGCCATGAAACTGGTTAGAACTGACTGCTCATATTGTAGACAAAAACAGATATGGACATGATCTACAACAGGTAAACTGAGACCCGTTTGGTTTTTCTGAATAGATCTCTCTCTCCTTCTCTTGTAACGGCATTCACCCGGGGTGTGTTGAGCCGACTCCAATATTGGAGTTTCATGGGAATTTTGGAATTCACAAGCGGTCCCCAGCCCGCATGTATAGCACATGAGATTTGATTATAGTGGTGAAGGTTTCGTGCAGGACCATCCACACTTTTTGAAGGGCCGATTACAGAGACCTGGTGCACTAAGGGCCACAAGGTCCCCAAACGACCCTCTGCAGGTTTTGAATTCAGAGTTGTCCTTCTCCTAGACCATTTGCCATCCAAGGCTATAGAACCCAGTCTGTCCTGATATTTACCCATAGCTGGAGGGAGAAGAAGAGGATTCACACCTTTCCCAAGGGTATTAGCACCTAAGTGAATGTAATGGATTCGACTAGAATTCGAACTCGGCTCTCTGATTCCTCAATCCAAGCCGCTGAATAGCTCGCGTAATATTATAAGGAAACTTAAAATTTTTTTTCGTTTTTTTTTAATTTTTTTTTTTATCGGTAATACCATTAAAACAGAAGTGGTTACAAGGTGAGGAAGAATTAGGACCAGAAACAATAATGATTAGCAGAAAGAGGAGAGAGTAATCAGGAGAACAGTAGATAGCGATTGATATTGCATTTAAATTTATGCAGATTAAAGTTGGCTTGTAATCATCGAGCTGATATACTCAAAATAATTTAGAAAGTAAGAAAAAAAAAACACAAAGAAAGTAAGTAAAAAACAAAACAAAAAAAAAGAATGAAATAAAATTTACATGTTTATTCGGGCTACCTGGATCTGAGCTCTATCTGAGCTGGAGACATAATAGGCAATGTATTGCTTTAATATTATAAATAATCTTTTACAAATCTCTAATTATTTGTATGCCGTCTTTTTTTCAAAGAACACATTTTTATTTTAAGCGTATTCTTTTCAAATGTCCATTTTAAATAATTTATTCCGTACAGTACACGTAATTTTTAGAGGAATATGTCTTTTGAGAAATGGCAAATTAAATTTAGCCGGACTTCATTTCAGTAAAAATCAAAGAAAGTGGCAGCCTTAACTCGTCGACTGACGGGTTAGGGTGAGAAATATGACTGGGGTAGTGTTGAGAAAATATGATATCAGTCAGCAGTACTGATCATAAACGTACAACGAAATAAACTAAAAATTCACATACAGGGAGATACATAAACACACTAACGCATAAGCATATATACAAACACACACTCGAGATAGATACACATGGTTTTTAGAAAAAGACAACAAAAACATATCTGGCTAGAGATATTTTAAATTATATATTTTAGTTAGAGTAAAGAAATGATTTTAGCATCTAAGTTATATCAATAATATATTTTGTTAAAGATTGTAATGAGCCTAACAAACATTGATGACCCAAATTTTGAAGAGATGCCAAATTGAAAATCGATATCATTTGATAAAAATTAACTGATCGAATATAAACAGTTTACTGTGTCTGAGGCATTATTTATATTTGTGAAAACGGTGCTTTGCGAATATTGTCGAATCTATGTATGGAAAAAAAACCCGAGGCGGTTCTAAAAGCAAAAGAGTACAAAGTGAACGGATGATTGTCTAAAGACTTTATCTAAAACGCTTAAAACTATTATGCTGACCTCGTAAAAAATGCTAATAAATTATTTTCAATAAGAAATGTTACACTTTCGAAGTCGTTATGTTTCCACAGCGAGGATGAAGTGGGGAATTAATATGCAAATCTGTAAGATGGGCATTTTGCAAGAGTAAAAGCGTCAAGGCGAGTGGGCTAAACGACCAGCAGACCTGGAGAAGGCAGAACAGATGGAGGGAGAAAATGGAGATGAGGAATGAGAGAAGTCTGGGGAAAATTACTGCCAAGAGACAGTCAAGAAAGTGATAATGATGACAATGGCAAGAATATGACTTTTAAAAAAATCGATGCCGCCTCTTCAACGTCTCATAGAGAAACGCTTTGCATTTTGGGTTTGCAGTGCCGTCAAACAAAATTAAGCAAAAGAAGAGAAAGTAACATGGCTTGAGTGAAAGAGATGGAAGAGAATTGTCGTCTGTCTTTCCTAATTTTAGTTTGGTTCGAAAATAATTGAAGGGAAGGCATGAAGAAAAATGTCATTAATACAGATGTGTTTCTGTCACTATTTTTTATGGTTTTCTGAAAATATCGTTTTGTGGCGAGAGTAATTTTTTTTCCAAAGTGACACAAAGACTTTTTGTTTTCCCGTATTTATCTTTCACGTCTTCAATAATGATCGCATTGATTCACGTTAAATTTCTAATGTTCAGGTCTTCGATAGCCTTCATCTCCTACCTCATTAAATATTTGGGAAGATCTATCTGTCTATCATAGCTGCTCCATCTATCTATCTATCTATCTATCTATCTATCTCAGTCTCTTGATTCTATCTATCTATCTATCTATCTATCTATCTATCTATCTATTCTATCTATCTATCTCAGTCTCTTGATTCTATCTATCTATCTATCTATCTATCTCAGTCTCTTGATTCTATCTATCTATCTATCTATCTATCTCAGTCTCTTGATTCTATCTATCTATCTATCTATCTATCTATCTCAGTCTCTTGATTCTATCTATCTATCTATCTATCTATCTATCATAGTTGGTCCATCAATCTATTTACATATCTTTTATAGTTGGTTCATCAATCTAGCTATCATAGTTTGTCCAATGTATCTTTCATAGTGGGTGGATCTAACTACCTATGAGAGTTAGTCCATCTACCTATCATAGTCAATTTATTATAGTTTACCCATCTATCATAGTTGGTCACGCAGTCATAGTTAGCCAATCGATCTATTATAGTTGGTCCATTCATCTAAATGAGTTGGTCCATCTATCTACATGTCTATCATAGTTGGTCCATTCATCTAAATGAGTTGGTCCATCTATCTACATGTCTATCATAGTTGGTCCATTCATCTAAATGAGTTGGTCCATCTATCTACATGTCTATCATAGTTGGTCCATTCATCTAAATGAGTTGGTCCATCTATCTACATGTCTATCATAGTTGGTCCATTCATCTAAATGAGTTGGTCCATCTATCTACATGTCTATCATAGTTGGTCCATCTATCTCTCCATCGATCTATTATAGTTGGACTATGTATGTATCTATCACAGTATCTATCATTGTTGTTCTGTGGATCTATCTATCCTAGTTGGTCCATCTACCGTATCTGGCCATCTATCTACCATAGTTGCCACATCTGTCTGTCTATCTATCTTAGCTGGTCCATCTATATATCTATCAATCATAGTTACTCATCATAGTTGTTCCATCCATCTATCATAGTTGGTGCATCGATCTATCAATCTATCTACCTATAATAGTTGCCCTATCTCTCTGTCGATCATAGAAGGTCAACCTATCTAACATATTTGGTCCATGGATCTATCATAGACCGTCTATCTATCATAGTTTATCCTGCTATCTCTTGGTTCATCTATCTATCTATCTATCTATTTATCATATCTGGTCCATCTATTTATTTATATATCTATATATCAACCTAACATACTGATGGTCCATCTAAGTTCATCAATCTATTATATTTGGTCTATCTATTAATCAATCTGTCATAGTTGGTCCATCTATAATAGATGGCACTTCTATCATAGGTGGCTCATCTATCAAAGTTGCTTCTACTATTATAGTTGGCCCACCTATCTATATATCTATCATTTTGGTCCATCTATCTACCAATTGGCTCATCTATCATAGTTAGACCTTCTATCATAGTCGTCCCATTTATCTACCAAACATAGCCGATCTATCTATCTATCTATCTATCTATCTATCTATCTCATAGATGGTCGATGTATCTATCTCTCACAGTTGGCTCATCTATCTATTATTGTTGGCCCATCTATCATATTTGGTACATCTATCTGAGTTGGTCCATCTCTCTCTGTCAGTTGGTAATATCTATCATGGTTGTTCAATCTATCATAGTTGGTCAACACAAAGATCCCAAATATTTCGTCAAGCTATCTATCATAGCTGTCCAGGTTTAATATATTTATCATAACATGCCAATCCATGTAACATAGCTGGTCCATCCATCTATCCATCTTTGTTGGCCAATTTATCTACCTTAGTTGTCCCATATATCTATTCTTTCTGGGTCCATCTATATATCTATCATAGTTGGCCCATATGTCTATCTCAGTAGTTGGCCAATCTATCTACCGTATTTGGCCCATCTATCTCTCATAGTTGGCCTATCTATCTATCTATCTATCTGGCCCATCTATCCATCAACCTATTATAGTTGACCCGTTTATCCATCTATCATAGTCGGCCTATTTTAGTTGTCCCAACTATCTATCTTAATTGGCTCATCTATATATCTAATAATTGGCCCATCTATCACAATTGGCCTATCTTTAATCTATCATAGTTGGCTCATCTTTCTATGTACCTATCTATCATAGTAGGACCATCCATCTATTTATCTTAATCGGTCCATCTATCATAGGTGGATCATATATCTATCAATCTATCATAGTTTGTCCTACATCATTTTCCATCCATCATAGTAGGCCTATTCATTTATCATGTGTGGTTCATCTATCATAGTTGGCCCATCTATTTATCTATGTATCTATCACAGTTGGCCCATCCTATATATCTCTGTTTCTCTATCATTATTGAATCACAAACAATAAACTGCAGTACTTAAGAGAAAGCAAATCAGTTAAGGACGTTCTATGGCATCAATAGCTAAACTCGTTGATATTTGCAAATCCAAAGGTAAGTAATGGCGTAATCAGTCTGTTGACGTTCTACGCTACTTTAGACAAAAGGCTAGGAAGGAAACTGGAAAGAGTGATAGCATCAACTGCACTTCAAGGAATATTTTACTACAAAATTGTTTTAAGGGAGAGATTTTATAAATTTCAACCGATATTTGTATTGGCTGTTCGGTCAATGAAAGCCAAATGTTTCCTTATAAGTAAACGGCTAATATTACCATTATTCGGCTCATCATGTCACTCTCTTAATTCATCTATCAGTCTGTTCATGTCTAGCTTTCAATCTAAGACTGTTCATAATTATCTAAGTCAGTACATATCTATCTATTTATCTATCTATCCGAAACTGATCATATCTGATACAGACTAATTCTTTCCCAAGAACATTATTGTAAATATGAACCCAGCATAGAGAGGGTTTGAACCCAGCTTGCCGATTCTATTTTCTGGTTCCAGAACAGACCCCGAAAATAGGAGTATTGTTGCCATATCTGAGCTGGAAGGGGTCAAATCATCCCTCTCCAGCACCAACAAAGTCCAAAATCTTTTAAGCAGTCTTGTGTGGCCGATGAATTATTTCCCAGCCTGCAAACCCTTTCCGACAAACGGAACACTGCCCGCCTTTCGTTACTCTAACACTATATCCATGCCTGATGTTTGGGCGAACAAAAATACTTGGTTACACCAGTTCAGATTGCCGGTCTCCAGGGTGCAGCTAACATCCTGGAGACCGACAGCCTTACTTCCATCATATTCCATTAGTAAGGACGAAGTTCCACTTAAACAAATTCTTCTATAGAACCGGGAGAGTGTTATTTACTCCACAACACAGACAAAATACATACATTTAAATCCTAATTATTTCTACACGTTTTTCTTTTTTGTTTTTTTTTTTAGCGGAAACAAACTCATTATAAAATCGACGAATGACATTGTTTTCCCTCCAATGCCATTAATACAAACAGCAGAGAATCTCAGACAATGTATGATAGGAAAGCAGGAAGAAAATTGATTTGATTTTTTTTAAATTTCCAAGTAATTTAAATCCAGAACATATTTTAGACTAAGAATTTATAGAGACAGAAATGATTTTCTGATAAACGTCCTACTTATTGACTCATAGCTTTGGGTAGAAGAGGTGGATTTATACCCCCCCCCAAAGAGTATTTGCGCCTGACTGACTATAACGAACCCGACTGGAATTGGAACTGGGCTATCCGATTTCTGAGTCCGTTAGACATTACAATACACCAGCTGCATATCCAAGCTTACAGCAGCTGGTATTACAAAGCGGATACCCATCTAGGTACTGACCAGGCTCGACGTTGGTTAACTACGATGATAGCAAACCTCTAGAAGGTAAGACTAACCAATAACTGAGGAAAGGTCAAAAGATGAACGGGATTCTAGAAGATAGAAAATGGCGATTGACTTTACATTTAAATTTGTGAAGATTATAGTTGTTAGGGAAGCAATTAATCGAAAGGAAGTTTAATAGGTGGGAAATGCGAGAAAAGAAACTATTGAAAAAAAAGGGGCGGTTGCATTTAGCTATTTCAACAGTAAAAGGGAGGGACCTAGATGCCAATCTAGTAAGATGCTTCAATTCATGTAGTCGGGGCAGCAGGGAGAAAAGCCCATCGGAGCAGTTGCCATGAAAATATTTGTAGAAAAGACAGAGGGAAGCTATGTTGGATATGTGAGAAAGTGACTGAAGTTGAGATGTCAAGTCAGGATTGATTAGATTGAAGATCGTTTTTTTGATCTCATTCCAATGTCTATCCGGTATTTTTCATCGTTTCACTCTGTGGCGAATAAAAAGAAAACAGCAACCAGCGAGTAAATTCAAGATTTCCCAACTGGTATTCCAACCTCGAGTCGTTCCTTCTTGAGTTCTGTCTCAAAATCGCACTAACAGACTTTTCTAGCCGCTAACCGTGAACGTCACTAGAAGAACTCACCCCACTAGGAAAAAGTAGTTGCTTTTATATTTGTCCATATACCCATAATCCCTTGCGTCTTCATGTGATCCCATAATTCATTGCGTCCATGTCCCATAATGCATTGCATCTTTATTGTATAAAAATGCAATGCAAGTCCCCCCTCATTCTTTTACGTTATCTGGCCGAGGACGGATTACGGCAGAGCGGTAAGTGCTTTTTTCTCCCTCATTTCAACTGCAGTAGCTTTACATGCTAAGCAAATACAGGATCTTTTTTGGCGGGGACAAGGCAAGTCGCAACCAGTTGTGCACGTCCCAGGTTCTGTCTCATCACGTCTGCCACACACTCCAAGGAAGGCGGAAATGTCAGGGGGTTACAGGGAGTGAAAATGAGAAAAAAGACTGAGTATAGTGAGGATTGAGGAAAGGACAAAAGATGAACAGGATTCCAGAAGATAGAAGATGGCGATTGACGTTGCATTTGATTTTTGAAAATTGTAGTTATCAGGGAAGCAATTATCGGCAGCCGAGGTAGCAGGGATGAAGACACAATAGAAAAATTGGTATGAGAATATTTATAGAAAAGTCACAGAGAAGCTACGTTAAGGCGAGATGCCAGGTCAGGACCGATAACATTACAGACCTTTCTTTTGATTTTGTCAAAAAGACATCTAGCAGATACTCCAAGCCAACTACGGCAGCAATATTCATTGTACGGACGAATATTAAAAACCAACACTGGGAAATAAAATTATTCTTCCTCGACTTAACAAATGAATAAATATAATTACTCCTTGTCATGTCAGTAGAAAATCTGAGGCCAAGAAGTTGTAAGGAGATTAACATCAACCATACTGATGGAAGGTAAACAATTCTCTCTGATGAATAAAAGATAGTAGTTTCGATTTGGAGGTGTTACTGGTAAAGTATATATATATATATATATATATATATATATATATATATATATATATATATATATATATATACAGGGTGTCCATAAAGTTCGTGTACACTTTAAAAAAAACATAACTTTATTTTTATTTGCGATAAAAATAATGTTTTTTTTATTATTAATTATATCTTCCCTTCTGACTAGGTATCTTACAAATGTGGGTGGATGTATAAATATAATGTTTTAATAGAATACGGAAAATGCGATAATGAAAGTACATTGGAATAGCGAAAGATGCTTTCCAAAAGCTAAGCAAATTATTAAGAGACAGGAACATTTAGTTAAAAATGGAGAACTGTTATTTAATGTAGGTCCTCATATATGGCAGTGAGTGCTGGATCATCTGTTCACAGATGAAGAAGAGACTTGAAGCACCAGAAACAAAGAAAAGAGTACTGAACTGTTACGTAATATCAATCCTCCTATGTGGCAGTGAATACTGGACAATCTTCTCACAGATGAAGAAGAGACTTGAATCAAGAGAAACAAAGAAAAGAGTGCTGAAGTGTTATATAATATCAGTCCTCCTATATGGCAGTGAATGCTGGACAATCTCCTCACAGATGAAGAAGGAACTTGAAGCAACAGAAATGTGGTTCTACAGGAGGATGCTGAGAATACATGACCACATGAGCAACGAGAAAGATTTTGGGAAAATGGAAAAAAAGATACACTTATAAAGAAAGAAATAGTTGAAATCAGGAAGTGAGAGTTGAGGAAAGAGAGCTTGGAGAATTTGTCGCCCTCAGGATATATTAAAGGAAAAGCGTACAGACAGAAAAGTTGAACAATTTTCTCAAGGAGTTTGTGTTAAATTGATGGTAGGACAGAGATTGGGAAAATTGTTCAAAGATTTTTTTTATACTAAAGTTCACTCAGTACAAGGCCAAAGATCCACTCAATGTTGAGGGATAATCTGTGGTGTTGCATGGGCGTAAGTAAAGGCAAGAATTGAAGATTATAGGCTAATATACGAAGAATAACGTTACAAAAGTATAAGAAGTCGTGGAGAGCTATGGCTGCTCATGTTCAAAGCATATAGGAGACATTTACTATATGAAGAAAGGGTGTTAATGTAACCTTCGTTGGTAATCGTAAGCGAAGCTATAGTTAAAGTATGCCTGACTTTACGAGCAGATGCAGTAAACGCCATGACCGTTGGATAATGCAGAACGCGGCCGAGTTCATGCAGTGTATTGCCCCAAGGGAACTGCATTGTGCATTTTCTCTCATAGGAGTTAGCTGCATTCACATCTGAAATCATTTATACGGAAAATTCATGACGGGATTTTGTTAAACCCTTGTTTCAAACCACAGCTACATACATATACAAAGAAGAAGAAGAAGAAAGAAAAGTGGAAAAGAAAAAGAAGCGATAATAAGAAGAAAAGGCGGAGGAGAAAAACGAAAACGTACAAAGAGGAGAGGGAACGGAGAAAAGGGTGGAATAGAAAAGGATGAGAAAAATGGTGGAGGTGGAATAAAGAAAAAGAGGAGGAGGAGAAAAAGAAAAGGGAGTGGAAAAAGAGAAACTGTAAGGGAGAAAAGAAAACGGTAACAATACAAAATGAGGAAAGAAGAGAATGAAAAGAAAGAAGAAGAGAAGGAAAAGGATGGAG